TATTCTGGATTTAACAGGAAGCCAATGAAGAGAAGTCAGGATAGGAGAGATATGATTAATACATGTGAAGCAACTTTAAAGCTCTTCCATCTCCCTTTATGAAGATGCTGATCGATTTTACTGCCGAACTTTGCATTAAGTCTAATTGTCCATCAGCTAAACCCCTTTGTATTACACTTAGTTTTACATTAGCAACCTGCTTCTCTAATTTGAGATACACATCATCCCGGAGGGGGGAAAAAACATTCTTTTTATAATTTCTTTAATTTGTCCAGCTGGGATAAATCATTCTAATGGCGTTTTGACCCTTTAGGACAAAGTGCACATCCCTGGAGCCATCTATCTGTCTGTGAAGTTTGACTCCCGCTGCTACACGGAGGAAGGCTGTGACGAGCTCATCATGTCCAGCAGCAGCGACTTCCTCCAGGACGTCCATAACTTCAGCGGATCTCCTCAGAAGTGGTCTGATTTTGAGATCCCTGGTAAGAACAGCTGTTTGGCCTTCAGTCCTTAAATCACCTGTTTTCTACTTTAGCTTCCTGACCAACCTTCCTGTTTCAGGCGACACCCTTTACTACAGGTTTATGTCAGACATGAGCAACACAGAGTGGGGATACAAGTTCACCGTGACGGGGGGCCACAGAGGGCGCTTCCAGACGGGTAAATGACCCCACCTGATGATGACATTCCTAAACCAGTCATCTTAAAGCCTCATTTTAATCGTTTCTCTTCAGGGTTTGAGATCCTAAAGCAAATGTTAGCTGATGTTCGGTTGCTCAGCCATCTGCCGTTGGCTGACATCTGGGAGTGGCAAGTGGGCGTGGCCTGTCGTCAGACTGGAAGCCAGCGACTTAAAGCCATCCACCTGCTGCTCCGTCTGCTGCAGTGTCAGTGTGAAACGTGAGTCCACTTTTATATCGGCCAATAAAGCAGCTTTTAATTTCCAGATTTGGAAATGTTCTTCCAGTAGTTCCTCATCCAGTAGTTGGTGCTCCTCACCTCAACAGGTGCTTTGCATGGAGCCCTTGATAAACGTCTTAGTTGTGACAACAGAGATTAGTTAAACTATGTGTTTAATATTTTGCATGAGTGCAAACTAGGTCAAAGTTGGAGCTCATGCAAAGTCGGTGTAGGTACCAGATCTGCTCGGGGCCCCGTCCCTTCTTCGTCATCATAAGGCAACTCCAATCAGACAAACTGTATTCCACCTGTTTGTTAAGAATAAAATCTCTTCTGGAGTTTCACATATTATCACCTATATTTGCTATTATTTTACATTTCATTGGCGATCTAAAGTCACCGAAAGTAGAAAACAATCATTGTCAGTCTTGAAGGAAAGCACTGGCTTCTAAGACAGACTGAGCTCTGCCATTTAACATGGGGACAAAAACGTCTCAGCTTATTTTTATTCTTTTTATTAAGATCTAAGTGCAGGGAAGGACAAATAGAACATCCTAAAAATGACTTTTGTAGAGTTTTTAGACCAAGAAAACAACAGTTTTCGCTTGTCGTTTGCACAAAGTTGAAAGTTAGTTAGCTTAATACGGCTAACTGATCGAGCTGAAACAGGCTAATCTGTTAGCTAATGAGCACAGCTAGCCACAGCGCTGCCCAGCTCCCCCCTTGATGTCATGGTCTGGCAGTTACTTTGTTCACCACAAAGAT